TGAGACCTATTGTTTTTAATGAATGTACTGTGCAAATCCGATGTAATTAATAAAAAATGCCTTCACGTATTATATGTGAGGTTGTAATTTTTAAATAGATGGCAAACCCACTCAATAAAAATTAATGCTTTTTGCACATCCGGAGACCATATTCTTTCACTTGGTATCTAATTTTTTAGACCAACGAACGGTGTAGATCTCATAATTTAAAAAAAGAGGCTACCCTACTCAAAAAATAACACATTAATGAACATCTAGAGGTCAAGCGCTTTCGTTTGACATCTCACTTTTTGTAATTCAACGCAAGGATCTCATAAGTTTTTAGACAGGTGGCAACCCTATAGAAATTCTAAGCTCTAAAGACAATACCCCTATCGATATAGAATATATAAAACAAAATCTCATCCAAATCCCTTTCAGTAGCTTTCGAGATTAGCATGGTCAAAAAATCTAGACTTTGCTTTATACCACGTAAGGATAAGATAGTAAACATTAAAGTTTTTGAACATACGAAGGCCATACACTCTCATTTGATATCTCATTTTTTATCCAACGAACGGTGAAGATCTTTTAGTTTTTAAACTGGTGGCAACCCTACTTAGAAAAATAATACATTCTTACACATCTAGAGTCTAACTGCCATACCTAAACAAAAGTGTGGGGCGGAGCGGTTTCTGACACCTAGCGTTAGCGCCGAAGTGCCATACCTAAACAAAAGCGTCAACGCTACGCCCAATGCAGAAATAACACCAACAATAAGCATAGGTTTGTTTGTGTGTAACACGAAAATGATAGTTTCGCCGTTTTCTGCAACCAACTTCAATACCTAACGCTCTGTCAAAATCGGATTTTCCAACCGCTCAGCGTTGACGCCGCGTTGTTTCGGTATGCATCATACAAATTGTATGGGCATGAAAATTTTTTGACAGCCAGACAACGCTGACGCTTTTGTTTAGGTACGGCAGTAGGTCTTTTCATTTGACAGTGACGGTGCGGAACTGACGCCTAAGCTTATTAGGATTGAATATAGTAGTTTTCTGAACAGGGGGCAGCCCTATTAAAAAAATAAAACATTCGTGCTTTTTAGAGGCCAATCGATTTCATTTGATACCTCATACAGAGTATATTAGAGAAAATCTCGGCAAAACCCGTTTAGTAGTTTTCGAGATTAGAGAGAGATTTCGAGATAGATGTTTGAAATTTTTTTATGTGCAAAATGAGCAAAATAAGACAAGAAAAAGTCCTAGATACTTAAAATTTCCATTTTGTATAGTAACATGGAATGAGCTGCAAAACTACGTACTCAGAATATTTCTAAGAAATCTTATTAAAAAGCTGAAAATTTTGATGAAACTTTGTCGAGTTTTGCTAATTTTTGTACAAAGTTTGAAATTTTGACTTACATGGCTTTTATTGTCTACACTTTCATTAAAAGATAATACACATTCAATAAGCAAAGGGGAATGTGTCTTCCCTACTTACATTTTAGCCAGGGACTCCTTAGAAAAATGACCATAAATCACAATGTTTACTTGCGTCCACAGTATTTTTGCGTAGAATTCCTTTCTGCGTAGGCGCCCTTCGGGCCCGCTTTAGTATTATAACCCTAACCAAATAGAATTCTCCTTTTGGTGTGCACCAACTGGGGCTACCGACCCAGTGTTGTAGCCTTCGGAAAGAATGGGGTAACTAGAATTCCCTTTTTGTGTGGTAAACCTGGGGCTGCCGCCCCAGTGATGTCTTTATGCAGAGCTCTTTGTTTAACATATTTTAAAAACACATTATACTTATTTATTCCCTACTGTTATCGAGATAATTATGAAACAGTGGTAGATTGTTGAAAATCTCATCGTTTTAATTTGCTGAATTTTCGACCATGTGGTAGCAGCCTTTATATTCACCATCTCAGCCATTTTGATTTGTTTGCTTGTTTGTTTGTTTGCTTTGGGGAAGAAGAGTAGTGAAATTATTACACTTCGTTTTTGGCGCCGAATTGAGATACACGCTGCGTTTCGACTTTCCGGACTGAAAACTATTTGACAAATTTATTAAATTTAAACAAAGCAAAATTTTCTACCTCTATATTCGCAATAAACGTTTATAAGTTTAATATATACATTTTTTCGTTAAGCAGTCATATTTCGTTGAACTAGTTGATCCTTGTTTTCCCTGACTACCTTCCTCCCGATGGAGGTTAGGTTTCGTGAGTTAAAAAAGCGACTAAAATCTAAAGCAAAAACAATGTTGGAAGTGGAAAACGTCCTTTTAAAAAAGAATTTGTAAACCTTAAGGCTTCGATGGATGCGACGGGGGAATCGCGCGACTCGGAAATGGAGTTGTCTGAAAGCTCTCCTGGAGCTTCAAATATTAATCCGAGGCACGTGCTACTGACCAAGGTTGAAAAGCCGCCGTTATTGTATGAGACGAACGACCAGGTAAAGTACATTGTATTTCGGGAAGTGTTGCCTGATGAAAGGGGCATAAGGAAAAGAAATTTTTCAAACTTATTTTTCATGGAACTGGTAGATGATCTCTCTCTGGTTGGGCTAGCTGACCTCAGGGCGCTTGGCAACGGGCGGGCTAAATTGACTTTTGATACTGCAACTGATGCAAATAATTTTGTTACAAAAAATTATTTCAAAGTCAGAAATTTATTGGCTTACATTCCAAAATCTTTGACTGAAAAATATGGTATAATTAGAAAAATACCACTAAAATACTCCGATGAGTATATACTTGAAAATATTGAAAGTGATTTGGCGATTGTATCAGTAAGTATACTTGATAGGAGAGAAGGTAGCGAATTAAAACCTACGACTTCAGTGAAAATTGCGTTCAAGGGTAATAAAATTCCAAAGCACGTAAAATTATGTAAATGCATTTGTGAAGTGGACTATTTTGTTCCTGCTGTCAAGCAATGTAAGAAATGCGGGCGGTTGGGACATATAGCAGCGTTTTGTAAAGCCACAGAGGCAAGGTGTTTACAGTGTGGCACTATAACGCGCTGTGACCCGGCCTGTGGTCAAACTAAATGCTTGTTGTTTGGTGCCTTAAACCATACCGCAGAAGTACGATCTTGTCCAGTCCGCGTTAATCGTCAAGATGTACAGAAAATTATGACTATTGAAAATATATCTTTTTTTTGAATACAAGGAGAAGTATGGTTATGAAAACCGTTTTTCTCTACTGGAGAATTATGATGAGGAATTCCCTAGCATCAGCAAGGAGAATAATATAGATACAGTCAGAGATACACAAAGTGAAGTCAATAGACTTTTAACAAAGTCGAGGTATAACAAAATGGTTAAGGAAGGCAATAGAAAGATGGTAAATCCTGTACAAAAATAAAGGGTAATACATAAGGGAAAGAATGATAACCCGGATTCCAACAAACGCGGTATGTGTCTAGTCAACACTCAAAGAGTAACAGAACTTGAAAAATTATCAATGACCTAGTCAAAATGTATGCTCATCTTTGCGAATTTGCAAAGGAGTCAACATCTATGGAAACGTTCAATAATTTAAAAGCGAAATATAACCTCAACGAATTTAATGATGGGATGCTACAAGAAGACATTAATGTAAATGAGATTTCTACAATATAACATACAGAGTTATAAAGCAAATAAATATAATCTTGAATATCTCATAAATAACAATGATATTGACGTTGTGCTTCTATGAGAAATTTTTACATTTAGTGAGAACGATATTAATCTAAAATTACTTAATTATAATCTTGTGCGCATTATCTCTGTATATTTTCACCCCAATATGTCACTTGCCGATTTCACGAATGCGTGTAAACTAATGTTCGATTTTGCAAATATAAATAATAATACCATTATTGGTGGCGATTTCAATGCCCGCTGCTCTGTTTTCGGTGACACGGTATCTCTGCCGAAAGGAACAATGATAAGCAATATGCTGTCTGCTACTAACCTCAGATGTCTAAATAACCACAAACATACGTACTATCAATCGCTGCAAAACAATGGGTCGCACAGCAGTGTTCTTGATTTAACATTTTCTAATTTTGGAGTTGATGGCTCCTCCTGGGATATATCCTCTGTGTATCTAGGTAAGAGTCACCATCTTCCAATCATTTTTCAACTCAAGGGTCTGTCAGCGCCTCAGTTCATACAGTTTAGATCCAACAAAAAATTAAATTAATCGATTGCAGAGCTTTGGCTCTCTTCTTCAATCAACGAGATAAGTGAGTCGTTTAAATTAGCCATTTCCAATTCCACTGTAGAGATTCCCTCAGAAGGAGGTTGGATGCCCAAATCGTGGTGGAACGAATCCCTTTCCATATTGTTTAGAAGGATGAAAGTAACAAGGGCAAAGTTAACTAGATATTGTAACCAAACAAATTATAATACCTATAAAGAGACTGTAAAAATCTGGAATGAAGCTAGAAACAAAGCAAAAAGGAAATCTAGACAAGAACACCTTAACGAAGTTTGTAAAAGCACCTCCAGTAAAGAGTTTTGGGCTTCAGTTAGGTCTCATAAAGCATTGGTTAACAACCCTGTCACTCGCAATAGTTGGGGAAAAAACCAAAAATCTAGAATATCTACTGTTTTTACAAAATCAAATACCCCCTGACATTCAAACCTTCAATTTTGTCCCTATGTTCAGTCAAAATACCATACCATTTGAACTTGAAGAGCTAGATGATGTACTAGCTAAAAAAACGAAAGCGTTGGCAGCTGGTTTTGACGGTGTCAAATATAGCATGATTAGAGCTCTCCCGCGAACAAACTTAAAAAATCTTAATCCAATACCAAAAAAGGGAGTTGATTTAAGTTGCATTGAAAATTACATCAATTTCAGTTTTCATCAAATTAATCAATCTCATATTAAAGAACAGATTAGAGAACATTGTTAATGAGATGAATATTATTCCAGCTAGAAGCTGTGCATATCGGAAGAGTAGATCCGGGGCAATGTGCATTAATGAGTTGGGCCACATGATTGCAAGACAAATCAGCCGGGGTTGTAAAGTTGTATTAATGTCACTTGATATATCAAAAGCTTACGATTGTGTGAATCTAAGTAAGTTTAGCCATACGTTCGATCGTTTTAACATACCAGCTGAGATGTCTTCGTGGATCTTGAATTTCTTTCATAGGCATGTACTGACTTTGGAGTCAGAATCGGTGGCTGTGACGGGTGGAATTCCACAAGGTTCTTGCCTCAGTCCGATAATTTTTGACATATACACTGCGGCCTTGCAAATGCTAGGTGATGAAAAAACAGCAATCTTTCAATATGCAGATGACTTTTTGCTTTTATCTTTTGACACCAATTTTGACAATGCAGTGAGGAACCTATCCCACAAGGCAAATGCTTTTTATGAAAGATGTGCGGAGCTAAATCTTAAATTTAATCTCTCAAAAACGCAAGCAATGTACTTTGCTAACGGGTCTAACAAAAGGCTCAATATAAAGATAAATAACTTCGATATAAGACAAACTAATTTTAAAAAATTTCTGGGCAGATACATCAACACTAGCATNTAAATCTTAAATTTAATCTCTCAAAAACGCAAGCAATGTACTTTGCTAAAGGGTCTAACAAAAGGCTCAATATAAAGATAAATAACTTCGATATAAGACAAATTAATTTTATAAAATTTCTCGGCAGATACATCAACACTAGCCTAACAGTCCATGAGCATTATACAAACATTATTAAGGACACCACCTCTAACTCAAATGGTGTTAAAATGATTACAAGCGTCAATGGAGGTTTATCTTCTGGACCTGCGGTTAATTTGTATAAGGCTCTAGTAAGAGCTAAACTCGAATACGCGGGAACAACTGCTTGCCACTCAGCCAAATATATAGATAAGAGAATTGAAATATGTATTTCAAAACCAACTGCTGCGCAGATGCTTGGGATGTACTGCTTCAACTCCCAATCACATCGTGTATGTTCTATCAGGGGAACTACCCTCTAAACTAAGAGCAATCTTCCTAACATCAAAAGAACTCTTGAATATAAAATTTTTGAATCCTCAACTTTATGAAGAAGTTGCGCAAGGACCGCACGTAAATTCGAGCTATAACTTCTGCTTTAACAAATATCACACTATTTTCAATAAAGTTGATAGAAATGTGGAGTTCATAGTGTCTAGGAAGTATAGCGTAGATTTAAATATTTTAACTCCTTTGTCCACAACTAAGTCAAATGTATCAAATGAAATTATTAGAACCCTATGTCAACAACGTGCAGAGTCGTATAAAAATAGAAGTTTTGTAATATTTGCCACTGATGCCTCTACTAATAATGGATCCTGTGGTATAGTGGTAAATTAATGGCCCTTTGTCTTCTCTTTCGGCTGAATTAATTGCGATTAAATGTGCTGTCTTGATAGCAGCAAAAGGTAATCTTAAAAATATTGTAATTTTTACTGGCAGCAAGTCTAGCTGTGTTCTTTTAAAAAAGCAACGTAAGAATAACCATACAGTTGCCCAAATTAATACGATCATTGAGGGATCATCTATCGAGTTCTGTGAATTTGTTTGGGTGCCAGGACATACCGGTTTTGTTCTGAATGAAAGGGCGGACAGGGCTGCAAGCAAGTACGATACTCTTTGGAAAATTTACAATTCTTTAATGGAAGAATGAGACCCGGAATACAAACTATTATCGCAACACAAGGGAGCTTTCTTTGCGGAAATATTCCCAGAGCTACCATCAAAGCCATGGTATCATAAATCGTCTCTATCTGTGGAATGCATCAAAATTATTAACAGACTTTTTTCGGGTCACAGGTATGATAGAAAATAGGTTCGATCCCAACGAATATTTGTCCTTTGCGTGATACTGAAGAAAGCCTTGATCACTCGGTCTTCTTCTGCGCTAAATATAATGCATTTAGATGCGATTTTGCTTTTTTTAATATTTTTCGTACAATTAAAGAAATCTTGTTAACGAAGGATGTATCTATTATTTCTCAGCTCGTAAGATTTCTTAAAATAGCTGCTATTAAAGTATAACGATATCTCTCAAATCAAGATTAATATATACGATTAAATCTAACTACATGTTTGCTTTGTTTTTGACTCGGACTACTTTACTACCATTGGCCGTAGACATATGACTGTTTACCATTGACAACCATTTGTTGACTGATCTGGCAATGTGGTCTCTGCACCACAGCTAATTTATTGAAATCTCAAAAAAAAAGTGAAATTATTAAACGCGTTTTATATTGTTAAAAAATAAAATAAAATACATTTAATGTACACAAAATGCCCGTGAACATTGCAAAGATCATATATTTATAAAAATATAAGTGCTAAGTGCTCTTTCTCATATGAAACTTTGCTAGTGCAACTGCAAAGAATTTACGAACGAATTAGTTAAATACTATTAATAATAAAGTGAAAAGAGTAATAAATAATGTAAATATATACGACTCTTGACACCCCGCCAAGTTTCATGACGAAATTCGTGATTGTTTTGTGAAAATAGCCAAAAACCGATGTAATGGAAAGCCAACCCAAATTCTGAAATAGGCCGTTTTTTTAAGTTTTCTGAGATAGGGCGTTTTCAAACTGGCTGCAGAGATAGGTCGATCTTTTACTCAGGTGTCGATATGCCTTTGTGAGTTTTTTGACAGCGATAATTGACAGCGGGATCTTCCACTCAGCCGTCGATATGCCGACTGTAGCGTACGAATCGCTTCTTATTTGTAGTCTATGTCTTTAAAATATAATCGAACAATCACACGAATACAAACATAAAATTGGTAGGTGCATTACGAATATTGCTTTATTGCTTTACTTGTTCAACACTCAATTAAGACTGTGTTAGTACCCACGCTCATAAAACAATTTGTTCTTACATGATTATTCTAGGCTGGGGAAATCCGTTCGTAATAATGCGTCGTCATCACTGTGTCTTAAAATAACTTGAGGCTGACATTCTCACCTGCGTTTCAGCCAGTATATTTATATTTTTGTATGTACATATATTTATATGTATGTAGAATCATTTTTATATATGTAAAATATCGCACATATATTTAGCAGTATTTCATTTAATTTGTATTTGAATAATTAAAATTCTTGGACATTGCTGAACTCGATGTGGTCATTGATGGCGAGGATGATTGTTGTTTGACAGCGATACAGCTCATTTGAGCGGATCTGTAATAAATTAACATTTATTGCACTCAGTAATTTTATACATACATACATACATAGATCTGTATTCATGTCAAAGGCGAGTTAAAGCGGTTGGAAAATTGTGTTAGCTTTTATCAATAGCTGTGGGGTTTAATATCGCCTTAATTAATGGATAATATCACTTTTGATTGTTTTTAACACATCCAATCATATGAATTATATATGAAATACATACGGGTAAACCACTAATTAGCTTCTGAACTATTAATCTTTGTAGCAAAACCCATAACTAGTGATAGAACGATACGAGTACCGAGTACAGAAAATCGATACTTTTCACGAGTCCTGAGTATTATCGAGAACTCGAATCGCGAATACCAAAAATAATCGACCAAATAGTTAAAAAACTGTTTTAAGTGAAATTTAAAAAAAAAAATCATATTAAAAATTTTGTTCGCAATTACATTGAATTTTTTTTAATTACGCACCAAGCGTAAAACTCGAGAAAAACGACTTCAAAGTTTGGAATTTACATATACTCCCATAGTAAAAATTAATATATATTTTGTTCAAGTGAGCCACTGATAATCGGTGCAGCTATGAAATTTTTACACAACCTAGAAGAAGAGGTAGAGGTCATTTCATTATTGAATAATTGCAAAATGAATCTCTTGCCTCACATTCGATATTGAATAGCGTGGTCTTCGGCTCGATACCTTGGTAATTCTCCAGTATAGCGGAATCCAACGAAATCCAGCCCATTCTCGAAGAAAATTTGTGTGGAATAGGGCTTGTTTCTTCCAGTTTCAACTATTATAAGCAAGGTCTATTCAATTTACAAATAGGAAGGGGTCATAAAAGCAAAGCAATCCTATTTTGTTTTACTCTTCGCGGTTTACCTTAAAGATACTTGGAAGTACGAGTATTATCGATACTTTTTTGCAAATATGAGTACTGGCGTCGATTCTTCTTTAGAGTATTCTAAATGAGTACTGGTATCGATACTTTTCTAAAAAGTTCTATCACTAACCGTAACCGCAAGTCATTCCGAAAGTACAAGGATTTCCTGCCTTTACTAATTCAAGACTTTAAAACTAATAATATACTAGTTATTTAAAATTACTGAGTGCTAATTTCAGCTGTTCTTCAAAGGGGATTCACCTCAACCAGGTTGTAGTTTTTTTTAGTAGTTTTAAGATCTTAATAGCAAAGGTATAAGCAAATGCAAATAATTAAATGCAAATTTTTTTACAAATGTAAATCTACAGCTTCTCATAAAAATACAATTGCCGTTCGGAGTCGGCGTAAAACTGTAGGTCCCTCCGCTTTGTGTGACAACAACAAGGCGCACGCCACAAGTCAGAGGAGAAGCTCGGCTAAACACTAACATATGTGTAAGCGCCAATCTATTATATATTGACATTGCTCTCATAAGAAGCAGGCTATAATAGGCATGTTTTATTCAACCATTACAAGCAAATAGCTAAATCTTGATCAAATAAAACGAAATCAGCTTATTTCCTAGGTTAGCCTAATTTTGACAGTTGTTTGACTGCAAATAGTGTCAAAGTAAGTTGTTGCCTATTTCTGATTGGCTGAAGGAGAAAATTTCTGATGCTGAATGGCAATGCCTCTTGTTCAATATACAAGCAAGATAGCTTTTCATAAGCCAATATAATTATGTTGGGTAAGTCCTCCATACAAAATAAGCTAATAGCTTAAATTTCTGGACAAATAAAACACGGCTATTATTATTATAAATCTACATAAGGCATGTTTTATTCAACCATTACAAGCAAATAGCTAAATCTTGATCGAATAAAACGAAATAAGCTTATTTCCTATGTTAGCCTAATTTTGACAGTTGTTTAACTGCAAATGGTGTCAAAGTAAGTTGTTGCCTATTTCTGATTGGCTGAAGGAGAAAATTTCTGATGCTGAATGGCAATGCCTCTTGTTCAATATACAAGCAATATAGCTTTTCATAAGCCAATATAATTATGTTGGGTAAGTCCTCCATACAAAATAAGCTAATAGCTTAAATTTCTGGACAAATAAAACACGGCTAATAGAAGTAAGTTCAATTTTCGAACTCATTGGAAATAGCAAACTTTTTAAATTTTTACGTTACTGAGAGAGTTAATTGTTTTCATTATTTGAAAATTAATTGGGACAGGCACTTTAGGAGGCACACATACTCGCAAATTACCGCTAATATATACATCTGTATAAACAAGTAAGTTATTATACAACTAATTCTTTGCCTTATTTGAAACGACGTGACGTGAGTAAATATTTAATTATTTCCATGTAAAGATTTAGCGCTTTCGTAGCTTCAATTTTAATACTATGTACAAGGTAATTAGTTGCAAAATTGTAGAAAGATGTTTTTACTTAGTTTAATCAAGCATCTAACAACTTCTTAACCCTTTCCATAAACTAGGTTTACCCAATTGGGAAAGAAAAATGAACAGAACTCCTCTTAACAATTCGTACGGCCTAAAGTGGCGTTTCTATAATGTCTTTCAAAGCAAAATAAAAAAAGACTAACCACCTTCTGGTCAGTTTTTTGTTCATCGAATTATGAGAAGTCTAAGCTGCAATTTATTTCGTATTTCACCAGCCCCGTCACCCGATGTGCAGAGCCATCATTCCACGCTGAGAATTTAGCTCACATTTAAATACCTTTTGTTCAATGGGACCAAATGTGTGTGCTCATGGAGCTCTGGATTTCTGCAGAAGGGTTAAATTGTATTAATTATGGTTTTTGTTTATTACTGTGGTGCATAATTAAACTTTTTCCGTTATGTCCGAGCACACTTGTGCACAAACTTTGTTTGTATAACGGTGTTTGTAACAGCCAAAAGTAATAGAGATAGAGATAGTACATAAGTATTTACAGTTCAATAATATTATATTTTGACGCCTAAATTTTTGCTAAGTGTTTGGCCGAACCTCTACCCAATTTGTGGTGCCCGTGCAGATGTTGTAACACAATTTTAGGCCGCTGATCCCGTCCAGCAAATGGTTCTCAAAGAGAAGCTCTTTTAAGGCAGAAGTATACCGTAGGACGACTGCTTTTAGAGAAGCGACAGCTTTTAAAATTTTGTTGATCTAATTACACTGGTAACATGACTTTTACACTCTGAAAACGACATGAAAGTTTTCCCACACGCTATTAATGGAATGGGTAAGATTATTAAATCAAATTTAAGAAAGAAAAACATCAAATTAGGTAAAGATAAAAATATGTTTCTGGAAATTAAATGAAATTGAAAAGAAGATATTTTCTTTTTAAAACAAAAGTGTAAAAATGTTAATCGAAAAGAAGAAAAAGAAAATTAAATAAATTTCTTAAAACCAATTAAAATCAAAAAGAAATATATATTATTCTTTAAAAAACAATAAAC